GAACAACTTGTAATGTCAGCTTTGCTCAGTTATTTAAATAGTTTTCTTAGATTTGTTGCATGCTTGTTGCTTTTGCCAATAAATTCACTATGGAGTGGAGATTGGGTTACATTGGTTGCAACAGTGCTGATATATTTCCATGTTGAAATGGGTGTGCAACAATCATAACAAATTGACACGCAAATCTCAGCTGAACTGAATGCGTGTGTAACACATCTGATGCATATTACTCGGGTGAATGCGCCGCATTGTAGAAACCGCCCCTTCGGCTGCACTGCATGCTCAAAAAGCTCACATTGACCATGATCTCACCAGACTGACTGGTGTGACTTACGGGATTAAATGAGCCACCAAAAGGGATTGGTGGTTAAGTATGTCTGTCGTGAGGCGATGATTTGAAAAGAGGCCAGAGGAGTCCCTGGGTTTGGCTATTTGAATGATCTTTTGTGTTGAGTGGCGCTAAGCAAAATAACTCACCCTGCCTCACCTTACCTTGGGCACAAACACGCACATCATAAACCTAACCGGACAGCAAAGAATCATCACCGCAAGAATCTCTGTGAGTATAGAAAAGGAATCGTTTGGACCGTTTTAGTTTATGTCAAGTGTTAACTCTCTGATGTGTCAATGCCATAAAATTAACCAGAAATACCACCAAATGTTGCTCACAGGAAGAACGTAGAAATGATTTCCTTTTCTCGTGCTACATCTCTGCCGAGTCGTCGTCTGGATGTTCACAGGGATGGTGTGTTTTGGCAGGAGGTGTAGCGTTGGACAGCCTCATTACAGTTTTAGATCATCCTTCTCATTAGCAGATTTGCCTGTATGTGGGTGACGAATGTAACGTGCATTTTAGGTGGAGAGAGAAAGAGGGAAGTGTTGGGAGAAAAAGCGGACATTGTTTCCGAGAGAATCCGGTCGTCAGCGATGACAAGAGAACAATGTGGCCTTGATCTGCATGGAAAGCGGTTATAACAGTGAGAATTTTTTGGAAGTTCGAATATGCTGGTGTATTTAAACTATAGTCTGCTTATAATGGCAGATTTGACAATAATTCAGTTTCATAGTGAAAACATGAACTAGGTAAAAAAAAAAAATGTTTTTCCATCACAAATGTTGCCGGGATGCTGTACACTGAATTGGTAATCTGATTTTTCATTTCAACTTCTGCTGAAAAAGTTGAACTGGAGCACAAATTAATGTTATGGAGAACAAAGAGGCAGAAACTGAGAACAATCCGTTTTAATAGAGCCGTGTTGCATAGCAGAAACTGAAAACCGTTGAAGAAACCGAAGTCATAGCAGACCAAGCTGAACTGTTAAAAGTGGTGTTAGATTGAAGAATCAGCAGCCTGGCATGACGGACCATAAAATAAAATCTGAGAGCATAAATCAGCTGACGATGTTAAACAGTAGGGCATTTGCAACTTAAGTGGGAGAGCTCAGGAAAAGTGAAAAGTCAATAATTGTGATGTGAGCTACAGATAAAATAAGAGGAAAGGCTTTCTGTCTGTCTGTCAGTCAGTCTTTCTTTCTTTTTTTTTTTTGGGAAAAAAAATTGTTTTGAATTTGTTTTGTAATACTAACTCAAACAGCTGCTTCTGGTTCGACAGCATGAAGATGTTCAGAAGCCTAAAAGCAAAGAGTGACCTGGTAAACTCATGTGCCTTTTTGACTCTTCCATGAGTCTACGGAGCACATTCCCAGTGACAATAAGTTGGAATGTATTTACAAAAAAAAGTGAGATATTTGAAAACTGTAGCCGCATAAATAATGTTGGTGATGGTTGACAGGTCCTGATTATGTTGAATATTGTGGAATTTGAATGGCTGAAATACCAGACAGTCTGCAGAAGTAGTTCAGTGACTGAGACATAAAAAAAATCCGATGATACAGAGAAACAGATTGATAATGGCATGAACTTCTTGATGCTTTGACACAATTTAACAATCTGACTTGACCGACTTATAGACGTGAAGGAGAATTCAATTCAGCGTCTCTCTCTTTGTAACAGGCTGAGCCTTTCTTCTCGGCACTTGAAAAGTACTCCTTGACCCAGTCTGACTTTCATAGACGAGGTGCGTTTCCCAGGAAGCCAGAGAAACGATGGAATAAGGGGTTTATGGAGGTCAGTTGGTTCCATCGCTGTGGCCCAGTTAATCACATGAAACCCTTGTTTGGAGTAAATGTGCTAATCCCCGTGGACTCTCTCTGGGTCACAGCCAGGCTTTGAAGACAAAATGAGACATAAAAAAGACCTTTTGTTCTTCAAACATGCGTTTGTACTTGCAACCTCGTACTAAGATGCTATTTCACCAAGCGTTTGTGATCTATTGTATAATCGTTGTTGCTATGACAGCTTCCTCTGGAGACATTGTATGGGAGAGGGCTATAAACTGTGTGGCCTCATTGAGTAAAATAGTCTTTGAGTTTGCCATTGTGCTGTTTGCATTCAGTGTTCCTCTAATTTAAGACGCGGTGCGCGGAGCGGAGCCGCGAACGGGCCCCGTCCCTTTGTGGGATTTCTGACACCTGATATGTCAGCACAAAATGTTAGTCAAGCAGCACGAGTTGGAGATGCAGAGTGTTGATGTAGGCAGTCAGATGACAAAGCTATGCCTTACGTAAGAAACCCCCTCACTGTGTAAATAGCATCAGCTGAGGGAAGGTCGTACACTTTAAGCGCTTCATCAGCCTCCGGTCTTTAATTAAATCTCCCGATGCCTGAAGTGTTTCACTGCCTTGGCTTAATTTAAAAGTGGCTTAGCACCCCACGCAATTAAATTTCTAATCCTGAAGATTTCACTTTTGATTTGGCCAGATGGCTGTTGCAGCAAATCCTTTTTAATTCTGCAGGCAGCAGACTCTGTTTGGACAGTTAGGCTGTAATCATTGCTTAAGATGGGTTGTACTGCATGTCAGTGTTTTATAATGAGGGATAATTATTGCAATTGTTTTGGGGGGGTTAGGTGGGGGATGAGGGAATCTCTACACGTAGTTGCAGTGCCTTTCACAAGTATTCTTAGAAATTGAACTTTCACTGTCAGAACCTTGCTGCCTGGTGAATTGTACATTTTTATCCTGTCATGAAACAGAGTTGAAGACTTAATTCTGGATTCCCTGAGGCCAGATTGTTGAAACTGAAAGGTCTTATTACTAAATAAATGGCGTTCAGATTGAGAAGCTTTTGGTGAAATCCAAAGACAGCAAACTGGACCATCTGGACCAACAACTTGGATACAAACTAAACAGGAGGCGTGATACATCAATCTTGCAGGAAGCAAAGCAAACAAACCAGAACACAGTGTCTGACACATTTAAGGTTTGATTTTCCACATCTGACCCAGACGGGTTTTCTGTAGGAGGCAGATCTTGATCCTGCGATAACCGTGGAAGAATGTTGATTTGTTTTGTCGTGGACATGTCTGTGTTGGTTTCAATTTGGCCTGTGTTTTGATTATTAAGCTGCAGAAACACCCAAGAAGACTCACATTCTGTACTTATATTCAGATTAAACGTAGATGCTTTTACATTTTATTTCAAAGAGGCCACAAAGCCATACGCTGTATAAAAGTTCTCAGGAGACATGAGCGAAAAACCGGCCCCGTGCTTTACCAATCTCCCACGATCCTTTGCATCGAACGTGAGACGCTTTTCCTCGACTCGTCCTGCGTCTTACGCATTTTGTTGCTGAATCACTCAGTCCTCGTCTCCTCTGACCAAAGTACATCCTTCCAATTCAACTCCTAGTAGAATTCCCTTTTGTGTTTCCATCTGTTAAGGCTTTTTCTTTTTTTTTCTGGCATCACCCCGAACCATTTGGTTGTATCGCAACAGCATGTTGTGGTCGCTATGGAAACTCGGTGACCCGAGACTCCACTCTTGACTGTGGTTCTCTTAACAGCGAGCTTTGGAGATTTTATTACATCTTCTACCGCTCCCCTCCTGTCCGTACGTGATGGAAACTTTGTGTTGACTCCCCGCAGCTATCTCTGTGTCGGCACTTTGCTGTTCACACGCTATTTGCTAGACGTCTTGTATTAATAATCCATCTCGGAGAACGAGAAAACGACTTGGCAACTTCTGTTTTATCGATTGTCTTTTGTAGCAAAGCCTCTTTCAATAAATCTTATGCCATTGTAAAGCTTTTTTTTTTTTAAATAATTTCCCTTTAAATGGTGCCACATTTGTAAGAAAATTGCTTTTGTGGGCTGAGCAACAGAGTTGAGTGTATGGGTTGTGGCAAAGGAAAACCTTTCAAATCATCTCTGCTAATACCAAGTAGTTTATTCTGCTACTTATTCTTGTTGAGTGTCATCAGTTGACTTATGGGATTGAACCTTGATGAATAATAATGAATTGAATAAACAGAGGCCTCAGCAGTGTGTCACATGCAGCCACAACATCCTTCTCCTCATTCTGATCACCAGCTTGGTCTCACATTACTGTCAGATGCCATACTTGTCTTCAACCAGCAATCGTTGCATGTAGTTGCATTGGTCACTTTGACGCCAGTGTTCAATGAGGATGAGGTCAGGTCTGCAGGGAGGAAGTATTTCTGTAAAAACTCTTCTCTGTTGGGCATTAACATTAAGGAGGTTAGATTTGGGTCCCAAAGAGGGCAGATATGTGATCGCCACTGGTTGTAGGGTCTCATCTTGATTCTTCTTTCTGTGAAGATTGCTTCCGATGTTGACAGCGATGAAATGCCACCCCACTCTGTCGCTCTGTTTGGTTGTTGGCAAGTCTTTTATGAGAGCAACTCACATATTCAACTCTGCTGCTCAACCCACAAAAGAATTTCTTTACAAATGCGGCACAATTTGAGGGACAATAAACTGAATGTTCAGCAGTGTGAGATTCGGTACCATGAAACATTGTTATGGAAGTGAAAACAATCAACCAAGTGCAAATTTCCTTTCCTTTGGTACCAGAGTTGAATAAGGATTAGCAGGTTTTCCAAATGATCATTTCTGAAGTCTTTATTTGTTTTCTTTTCAGATCTGACTCCTGTACATACAAATAGGAAATCTGTGTGAAACTCACAAGAGGAACCATGCTAACCTTAGAAAGCTCAAGAGAGCCTGTTCCTCTCACGGCCCTCTCCCGCTGGTACCTCTACGCCATCCATGGCTACTTCTGTGAAGTGATGTTCACTGCTGCCTGGGAGTTTGTGGTCAACTGCAACTGGAAGTTCCCCGGTGTGACCAGCGTGTGGGCCCTCTTCATCTACGGCACCTGCATCCTCATTGTGGAGCGGATGTACCTGACGCTGCGCGGCCGCTGCCCCGTGCTGCTGCGCTGCACCATCTACACCCTGTGGACCTACCTGTGGGAGTTTGGGACGGGGCTGCTGCTTCGGCAGTTCAACGCCTGTCCCTGGGACTACACCGAGTTCCGCTACAACTTCATGGGGTTGATCACGGCCGAGTACGCCGTGCCGTGGTTCTGCGCCTCCTTCATCGTGGAGCGCTTTGTCATCAACAAAACCCTGCGGCTACGCTTTCACGAAGGGCCCGAGGACGGCTGGTCAAACCATCGGCATGATGCTGGAGGAGGAGGAGGTGCTGGAGAAACTTTGGAAGGCAGCAGGCAACGAGAACAAAGGAGGGGGAGTGGCTTTAATTCAAATGGCTACCTTAAAGTTGATTGAGTCGATTTGCAGGGGACTCTGTCGCACCTCCTTGACCCGCCACTGGCACTTTTCCATATGCAATCCTCACCCTTTAGTGCATGGGATGGAGCGACAGCCATCAAGAATAAGTTAGTTAGTGCTAAGGAAGTCAGAAAACAAATGTCTAACCGAGGCTTCACATCCCAAATACTCACCATTGTTAGCTAAACAGGGACTCAAAATGCTCCTGTTATTACTGCATTTCACATTACATCCACCCATTTACATGGGAATGACCCTTATGCTAGGATCTTCAGTGACATGGACTAAACTTTAAAACTCCTTCTTGGAGCTCAGAATATAGGATAAAAATAAAAAAAAAAACACTTTTGCAGAGATTAGTGTTATTGTTCTGTAAAACAACTTCTTGGAAAAAAACCCCAAACAAACAAAAAAATACAGTATTTGTGTTATTTAAGTATGCACCAATCTATGTAAGAACAGTTCTCTTGCCTCAGAAATGCTACATGAAAGCAGCACAGCCACGAAGTATAATCTAGACACCCAAATGCCGGACTTTCTTTAAATTCAAAGGAATGTGTTATATTTAAGATGATTATTAAAATGCAAAACGACACCCATAGCTATTTTTGTCAGTGTAGAAAAAAACTATGAAGATATGAGGAATTTTGTCACGGTCAGGTCGTAATAAGTCGCATGACCCTAATATTAGGGTCGCATGTGCAATTTTTTTATTTATTTATTTTTTTTTGTAATTCAATCAGCCTCTCATTAAGCAGCAGTAGAAGTGCTGCTTTGGGTGTTACCAAACTTTTTTTTTTTTTGAAGCATCCAAAAGAGCCGGCCTCTACTTCCCTTCGTCAAAACGGTGCACATTCACACACGCACATGCACGCACTCGTACAGCCAAGTCATTGATTACACGTGAAAAACTCTTTACAAAAACATGCGTCTTTAAGGAAAACCTAACAGTCACCTGAGTCTTAAAAACCTTGGTATGGAGGTAAGTTGTCAGGATGTGAAGTGAAGTCTCTTGTTTATTCTCATAAGGTGCTAAAGTTTATAATAGACACAAATTAAGCTAGATACTAGCATGCGCTTTATAAGAAGACACATAACCATGTTTCTCTCACTGTGTGATATTAAATCAGACTAATCAGAACAGAATAATGATCGATCAATAATTTTTTAAAAGAATATCCACAGGTTCACGGATATTTCCTCAATTTGTGTTAGAAGATTCCCAAGCCACGAGGCCATTCTCAATACTTGGACTCACTACACGTAATCTTGGAGCTCTAAATTTGAAGAAAGTTATAGAAATAAAAAATCTCTTTCATTATTCTGGTGCTGATAAAAACTATTTGGGTGGCGCTAACTGGAAACAGGGCAAGGCGAGTCTGACGTAATATCAGAGGATAAGATGAAACTGTCTTGCTTATACAGTTGATGTGAATATCTGGTTTCTAGTTTAGTATTAGGGGAGAATGACCTGAAACTCTGTGTTTGCATTACACCCGTCTTCAGAGCGCCGTGCAATTTTGCCAATTCGTACTCTTCTTTCTCACACAGCCAGTACCATTTGACCCAGAACCACTTCCATTTGGTACAGGACCATTCTTGATCAATTTATTGTCTTGGTAGTTAGAAATTTATGAACCTCACTTATGATTTGTTTAATTGCATTTTATTTTCTGAAGATTTTAGAGTAGGAGCATTAACACTGGTCCAGATCCCCGCTTCGACCGGTTGACTTCAGTGGAAAAGGAGCGATCATGAGGCTCAGATATTCTGCTAGCGGTAGCTTTTCCGAGTCAACTTATGGATGTGAGCTTATGGATGTGAGAATTGTAAAAATCGAACATTCGCTTTATTTCTTTTTAACAAGAAATGCATCCATTTTTTTGGTTTCAGATTTGTATTCGCCAGTTTCATACTGGGTTTGAGAAGAGAGAATTTAACGTGTCTTTCCAAACTCTAATCATAGCATTGTGAGAAAATATGACTTAACTAAACAACAACATACAGAAGGTTGCTCATTGTTAGCCTGCTTTCATTGATGTTTGAGTCAACCGGCCTCAATGGGAATCAAAACCAAAATGCTTAGAAGTAACAAAAAATACGTTTATAAACTATTTAAATTATACATAAGATTTGGGCATTTTCTGACCATTTATCTACAGTAATACACAAAAACACTTGACTACAAAAAAATTATAAAACAATTTAGTCTTGGTATTATTTATACGGATGCATGAAATGGGTATGGTTATGGTTATGAAATGACTGTAGAAAATTACTAACGTAGGTAACGTGTGTGTGTTGTGTGTGTGTGCGTGCGTGTGTGTGGATTGAGGGTACGAGTTGGCAAAGGAGCGATTAAATTAACACTGTTAATGTTTGCTTTTCTTTTGCGTGATATATCTCCAAACTTGTCGTCTTCCCGCCAACATCACTCTTAATGTGAACGTAAGCGTTGACGTGGTGTGACAGCAAAAACCGTCCCTGTGAAACACTGTGGCCGTCGCACCACACCTATTTGTGTGAATTAAAAGTCGCACCAGGCCAAATTCAATTTCTTTGATAGAGGCTTTCGAGTCGCTTGAAGGTTACACCCAGAAACACTTTGGCTAATGTTCACTTGGCAGCATTTTCATCGCACTCTACAGCAGCGGACCTTTAAGAATGTATCCTCCCCCAGAAGCAGGGTTCATTTATTTTTTCACTTTGGTTCTTGAGGATCACATAAAAATAAAATAAAAAAAAAAATACATGGAAAGGTCTTTCAGCCCATTTATTCAGTCAACAACCATAATGTATGTCTGACAAGTCACTGTGCTGCATGTGCAAATAGAATGACAGAAGATGCTGGTTATCAGCGAAGGTCTGCGGTTGTCTTCTCTTAAAGCATGTTGAAGTGTCCTTGAGCCACACGTTGAACCATTAAACTGTAAGTAAGCAGGTCATGGCTTTGCATGGCTGCTTTCCTACTGTGTTTTTATTTTGTGTGTGTGTAATTGGACATATATGTGTGGGTTTTATTTATTTATTTTTTGGTAAATATGGGGATGATAAATAAAGTGATTCCTCTTGACATCATTTCTATTACCTATATGCTAAAGTCTGTGATGACTGTGAGTCATGGCCATCAACATAAAAGCCTTTTGCAATATCTTTTATCTATTTTTTAAAAAGAATTATCTTGTGTGTCTCTGTCTGCAATTACCTCTTTACCACATAAATCCTGTATGTGGTTTGATTCCACCTTGAGTACGCCAAAGACTTAAAAGTCTTATGTGATGAGTGTAAAAAACTCATCCAATTCACAGAGCCTTCCAAAAGCGTTGGCATTTTTTGCGATTACAAAATTCAGTGTGCTTTGATGGGGGTTCATGTGATAAACCAACACAAAGTAGTCATAATTGTGCAGAGGAATTAATGCATTCTGTTCAACCTGTTTTACAATTAAAACAATTACATAAATGTTTGCTAGGAGGAATAAGTATTCAACACTCTTTACTCTGACACCAGAAGAGGTGCAACTTATTGCCTTCAGAAGTTGTGTGTGTGTGGGTGAGTGTGTGTGTGTGCGTGGGTGTGGGACGGGTGTGTGTGTGTGTAATCGAATCTCAGTATAAATACAGCTGTTTCTGTGAAGGCCTCAGATGTTATGTTTCTCCAAACCACACGCCACTTCACAGTGACGGTAAAGACAGATTACAAGAAACACATTTTCAGATTTCGACTCGCAAACTCATGCGACATGCTCCTTTTGTGTTCGTCAGTCACATGAAATCCAGGTAAAACATGTTTGGTGCGCAGTCGCCATAAAAGGCTCTGTAGACACCATGAGCATATTGCTAGAGAATTAAAAAGAAACAAGAAACCTTAAAGAGTAACATCAGTAGTTGTAAAAGACATATCAAGAACATTAAGCATGTTTTTTTTGGCTAGAATATAAATCCTGACAGACTCTTTACTAAACATGTTCCTGGGAAAGAAAAGGACATTACTGAACCAGACCTAAACTCCAAATGTCACAGAAGACTCTAGATAAACTCAATAAATAATAATAACAATAATAAAAAACATGACCCATTTTAATGTTTCCACAGTTCTGCTTGACTAAGTGAACACTACGACCTTCTCCTGTGTTGATGCGTTAAACGTGGAGTTTTCTCCTGAGAGAGCTGCTCTGCATCTCAGATGAAGTGCTGCCACCTAGTGGTGAGTGGTGCGCTAAACAGCCAGTGTTTTTGTTCTGCACTCCGCCGTCGCATGCGTTGTCCGTTAGGCTTCAAAGCAATACTGTAGATGCGATTATTACCCTTTTCTAAAGGAAACGTCTCTGCATAATTCATATGCAGTCAATATCTTAACTTGCAAGCCTAAATGTATTCTCTGCAATATGTGCGTGAAGGAGCTATGAGTCCAGCGGAGACGCTCGTCTCTGAGTTAAGTGCATGAATAAGATGTTAACAGTGAGCTGGGTGTCTGGTGTTGTTTGTGTTTTATTTTATTTTATTTTTTTTAAATTTTCTCTCTGTTTGAATGTGCATGTCTAAAAGCAGCTCCACCAAACTCCTGTGTCAAGCTGCTGATGATTGATCTTCGCATTATTTTTATTTAAAGAAAAAAGAAAAAGAAAAAAAAGTCCAAATAGGAGCAGGAGAAATCTGTACTGTATATCTGTAATGAATGACTTTATCAGTCTCTGAGGAACAACTGTTAAGAAAAGAAAAGTATTTGGTTTTTAATGTGTGTGGATGTGAGGACTGTGAAATATGTCTAGAATGCCCTTTTTTATATTATTTCCTGATTAATTATTGTTATTTAACCTCATGAATTAAAAATAAACATCTTGCTGGTCTTTGTGTCTGTTTTTCTTCTTTGTTTTTTAGTAAAAAGTTTTTCACCTACAGTTTTTACTGAAAAGGGGTTTGTGCAAATGATATATGGTAATACTGTTCATCACGCAGCCATTTCTGCAGCTTTCACCGATCAATAACTAGTCACTTTTCCCAAATGGAATCAGAAACTACTTTTCATATTGAAAATAGTCACAATTTACGCACTCACAGCTAAGAGGGACTTTTTAAACGACACATAAGTTTTTACTCTCCGTTATGGCGTCTCCATGTGGCTGGCATAGTGAATTGCAGTCTGCAACCCTAAAGCAACACCCCCACAAAGCTCTCCTCATCCAGGACAGTGAACAGACATGCTTGTTATATTATATGTAACAATATAAAAAAAACAATCTTTTGCTTTTTTCAATTATTTCAAAGGAAATGTAGAGCCTGTGGTCATTTCAATTCACAATATAAATGAGATTGCTCTTCTCTTGCAGTACACATTTGAACCTGAAGATGGCTCTTTTTCACCAACAAAAACAAGACAGTCCTGCCTTTGCAATTCAGCTTAAAGTCATGGTTGAGTCACCAGTCTGCACTGAGCAATTGTTTTGTCAAGCAGTCTTATCTCATGACTGGGCCTCCAAAGCAACAAAGCACAGATTTGCTTCAAATATAACTTTCCACTCATTTTAAGGAATGGGCGTCAGTATGACCTTCATATTGCTCATATATGAAGGTCGTATTAATCATGTTGTTGCAGTCAGCATGATCAGAGTTGTTCTTTTTTAAGTTTACCAGGTCATTCTCTTCTGACACCAGTTTAGAAGTTGTTCAAGTATAATTAAAGGGACACTTAAACATAGATATGGGTTATCACACATCTCATTTGCCTATAAAGAGCAAGGCAAAAAAAGGCTTCCATCTCCTTCTCGTTTTGCGGTCACATCTCTCAGGTTACAAGAATATCACCTGTCAACGTGTTCGATTAACTGCAGGTTTTCCGCCGGCCTCGGGGCCCGGCAACCAAACAAAGGCTCCCATGTGAGGGTGTGTCCACGTTGCACGCTCTGCTGCACTAATGGCCCAGAGCCACGGTGGCCCGGCCTCGTTTTGCACCTTCGGCATATGGCTTCATCACCTTTCCTCCAATCAGGGCCTCTCACACCAAATATGGAAACTGAAGACCTGTAATCTCTGCACTGCAGATTACCAGTGTCCTCCCTCGGGCACATCCGAAGGCCTGTTTTGTCACTGTGTTGAGCTGTTTGGGAGCTCACACCCAAATACGTCTTGTGTTTAAGTTTTGGCAAGCGTCTTCATGATTGACTTTGTTGTGTTGTGGGTCATGTTTGAAGTTTGTGTAAGAGGAAGTCTGTACGGATTAAGGATAATAGATTATGGAAGGCATGCCCACACTGGGTTTCTTTTCACAGAGGTGTAAAAGTATTTTCTCACCATACAGACTGTTATTTTTGTTAGTATTAAAATCACAATTAATGCAGACCTGAGTAAACGTTGGGGTGCATCTCTTCAGGTCCAATGTAAAATATAGTGACACATAGTGGCAATACTGTGAAGAACCGGGCCTGCGCTCTCCTTCTTGAGCAACTGGATCATTTGCAACAACTGGTGGAGCCATGCGTTCTGCTCTCAAGACAACCTTTGCATGACTCACAAAAACAAACAAAAATACATTGCAGTGGCCTAGTTGAAGCCTGGACTTAAATGCAACTGAGAAGCTGTGGCACGACATTAGGAGGTTAAAAGTCTTGATGCTATACAATGCTTTAGATACTCACCATCTAAAACATTGTATCTCCATGGGACCCATCTGTGCTGGATTTCAGTTTAGTGCTTAAATTCAAGTCAAGTTTGTCTATAAAGCGCATTTCAACAACAATGCAGTTCATAAGCCCCTACACCATATAAATATGGTGTAAATATGTTTACATCCTGTTAAAACATGAAACTAAATATGAAACAATACATTTTGTCAAATACCATAACGAAAATCATCAGATTTGTTGACCAACGTTCCTGTTATTATGAATCAAAGGCAACGCTAAACCGGTTAAGTTTTAGACCTTTATTTTAAGGAACTTCAGGGTTTTGGCTGTTTTGCAGTTTTCTGGCAAAACTTCTTTGTCTTTCGGGCTTCGACCCAGATGTTCATCACAACATCAGACCAGAGCTTTTGCGGCAGACTCGCTTCTTTGTTGTTCAAGTGGGCAGATATAGGCTGACGCTGCATCCAGCTGCATTCAAAGACGTTGCCATGGAGCTGGTCAAAAACAAAAACACAGAAGTCTCTTCCTGGAAGATGTGGACAGGCAGCTGTAAATAATCCATCCGGTTATCCGCGGGATGAACATCAGAACACAGTGATGAAGCAGTTCAGCTCTAGGCTGCAGTCCTGCTGGCCAGCAACCGTCCACCACTCATTTCAAAACTTTCGTTTTCTTCTATATGGTAATATTCCACATCAAAAATAAACAAACAAACTGTTAAAAATAATTTTCTGCTTCCTGGCATGAGGAAGGCAGCTGAGAACCCTCAAATATTTGTTGGACGATGAGATTTGAACCAAAAATACAGTTGAAGAACTGAATGCCAGACCAGCAATACAAAGCAGCGGAGAGAATAGCAGCAGCAGGGTCACGGTGCCGAATGACCGTAAGCATGTGGGGTCAGGTGGGGATAGCTGGGGTTGAGCAACTCATGAAAATGAGTTGTTCCATCGAGTCAAGGCGAGGCCTCAACATCCGCATTTGAACGGAGTCAATTCCAGCCACTTGTTTGACACGTGAATGAAAAAAAAGCATCTGGCCTTTCCCGAACCGCGTTCACGTCTTCACAGCTCTGGACCGACTTCGAGCGCTTCTGGAAACCTCTGGCTTTTTTTCAGTCACTTTTTCCTCTCGTGCCGGCACTCCTGGCAGTCTGGGCGCTCCGCAACGAAACGCTGGAGCGGCCAGCGATGGGGAATTAGCTTGGCCCGAAGGATCACTCGCTCTTCCACTACTTGACTCTCTATGTGCTCACATAGTTCTGGAAATGCCAAATAACTGCACAGAAGCAGCTCAGACGAATAAAACAGGGTGTTAAGAAAAGGGAAAGTTCACTTGAAAACTTGACTTTTGAAATGCTTAGTGTTTCAAACACTTTGCGTCAGACTAGTCTTTTTTTTTTTCCCCTGCAGTAAGTCAATTCAAACAGCGTAACCCACCTGTTATGTTATTTGTTTTTACACACAAGGTAGTATATTCAAAGTATTTGTTTTATAGATTGTTGCTCACAGTCAAGAAATAAACAATTAATTTGTATTTTAATCAGGGAAGTCCAGTGGAGAGTAAAAGAGGCAGATAATGCTATGCAACGATTACAAGTAGTTACACAATTAAAAACCCAAAACAGTCCTCTCAGCAAATCTGAAAATCACTTCACTCCAATAAATGTTATGGCCTACATAAAAAACCTCAAAACCACCAATTGGTAGGTAAGCTATTAAAGATAAGAATAGTCTAGTATAGTATAGTGCACTGACAAGCCTTTCAGTAAGCTAGAATTTCTGGATTAGAAATCCTTTGTCTCGCGTAACATTTCAATTCAGGTTCAATGTGTAAATGCTATCGCGTGTACAATTTATTTTACTTTTCTTCCACCACCAATGTCTTTTTCGGATAAGTTATTGTCTGTTTGAACCGTCAATCTCTCTTCAGTGACCTTACTAAAGCAGAGGTTCAAATCGAGTTGAAAGAAAAACAGTTCTTACCTTCTCACGCTGCAGAATCAGGCGCAGCATGTGGCTTAAAAGTTGGCAATTTCCTAGTTTGGAGTTTAGGAAAAATAACGGAAGGCTCCCATCTAAAGTTGGACTTCAAAGTGGGATGTCGGAGGTTTCTCATCAACCAGAACCTCAAAATCCAATATGGCTGCCCTGTGTAAGAAACAAAACAAAACAAAACTTGAAGCACTTCAATTGAATGAAACTACACTTTTCCTGAGATTTTGCCGACTTCCCGCCTCTATTTGGGTTGAACGTCGTTTCAGATTGTGACAAATGACCTTAAAAAAGTTGACAAATCTGCAGCTTGTGTGCTCGTGTTTTTCGTGGTTTGTTTTTCTTGGTATGTCTTAAAATGGAATCAGTCTTTTCTTCAAAGTCCTCTCCTTGAGGTCTTTAAAACAAAAAAAGAAAAAAGCAGCTAGTGATGATTTGCATTCTGAATCTTGGAGATGGGTTCACTGAGATCCGGGATGACAGATCCTGAACGACAACATTCCCGTATTTGGCTCAGTTCTCCTTCTCGTTCCTCTGCCTGCCAGTTAGTAAAATGAAGTCTCCGTATCCGGCAGAGCTCCTGAGCAAAGCCACAACAGGCAGCGGTTTGTGCAAATTTGATTTTGACAGTTTGAACCTGTGGCCATCTGTATACAAACCTGCCGTTTAGTCAACGGTCACGGTTTATCTCCTGAGAGGCTTTTTGCATAACAAGAGGGAACAACGCTTTCCCACGCTGCTTTACATGAGCTTTATTACTCGAGCCGTAGCTTGAACTGCGACTGACAAGAAACAGCCATCACCGGCGCTTCTGCTGGGGCACAAATCTGAAACGTGAACTTAAGGTTTTTAGTAAATGTCACTGTACTCTCTGCACTTTGAATTATTTTGCATTTACTCAGCAATCAAACAGCTTCAGACAGACAGAACGGAACGTATCACAAAGAGGCCTTATTGGTAGCTACTAACTAACATACCGATTTGTGCAACTCGTCACTTTTCAGCTCAGGGGTAAGAAATCCTTTGGTAACATACAACATGAGAGCAGGATGTAGGTCTAAGGTCAAAAGAAGAAGTTGCCAAGAAGAAGAAATGTTTCTTTGCCCTGCCCGGCTTAGTGCACACTAATTTTCATATTCAGATTCCCTGCTTACACTAGAAATAATTCATTCATAACATCCAGTATTTCATATATCAGATAATATTCAAATGCATACCTAAAATCCCACCCAC